ATTAAGTTCAGCCATTGAACACTGGAGTGAATACCCAAATCTTGATCAGTGATATGAACTATTTGTCATTCAAATACATTGCTCATATGAAATGTGTACATTTCACACCTATCCTTGTTACATGGTTCATACTCAAAACCACTTTCTAGAGAACCTCATTATAAAAACAGTTAAAAAATAGTTCCCAGTTAGGGAACATTTCATGTATTGCACCACCAATCCTTTTAAAAATTATCCACCATACTGGGTGAACTGTCCATGTCATTCAAGATTTCACAACCTTACACAAAGGTTGCGGTGCCTTTCACAGCAACCATACAAACTGATTGAGTACTGACAACTGTAACCAAGGGGTTAAGAAACACTGTCATTAAAAGAAAAACACCCACACATTAATAAAACACTGTACTGCTCCTGTTGCTGAAATAATATCACTCACTAGACACGTCAATCACAAGAATAAAAATACAGCAGTGTCACGTAATTACACACTGAACTTAACTTATCAAAAGAAATATATTCAAATAACTTATAACCCCATATTAAAGGTCCATATTGTAGCATCATGATCTAACACCACGTGTGCACTTTCCACATCATAAATTCACTTGCCATCAGATGAAGAGATGGAGAAAATGTAATCCACAAACCAACTGTAGTTTGCACCATGTCGAATAAGTGTTATTTGCATGAAAGTATTGTCTTCTTTTGTAAACCACAACCTTCTGACAATCACATTCACTACAGCAGAAGTATAATTATTTACACCATCACGAATCCAAAAAGAATAAAATGTATGTATATAATGCTGAAAAGTATTACGTCAGTGCTTCAAAGACCTCAAAAGTTCTGTAATACTGGAACACAAGGTCTCATTGTATCTACATGTAGAGAAGTGCTATTTAGTCTCTAGCTGCATTGAAGAACTGAAATCTCTAGAAAACAAGTCTTTTTCACTGTACAATATATGCATATTTCATCTATCTAAGAATATGACTGTCAACAAAATAAACAGAGGATCACATTCCCTTGAATATGATCCTCTACATGTTATGTCGACGGTAATATTCTATCGAATACGATCCTCATATTTGTTGTGTCATCGGTAATATTCCCTTGAATACAATCCTCATATTTGTTGTCAACAGAAATATTCCCTTGATTACGATCCTCACATTTGTTGTGTCAACGGTAATATTCCCTTGAATACGATCCTCATATTTGTTATGTCATCCGTAATATTCCCTTGAATACAATCCTCATATTTGTTGTCAACAGAAATATTCCCTTGATTACGATCCTCACATTTGTTGTGTCAACGGTAATATTCCCTTGAATACGATCCTCATATTTGTTGTAACAACTGAATACAATCCTCATATTTGTTGTGTCAACAGAAATATTCCCTTGAATACGATCCTCATATTTGTTATGTCAACGGTAATATTCCCTTGAATACGATCCTCATATTTGTTGTAACAACGGAAATATTCCCTTGAATACGATCCTCATATTTGTTATGTCATCCGTAATATTCCCTTGAATACGATCCTCATATTCGTTGTAACAACGGCAATATTCCCTTGAATACGATCCTCATATTTGTTATGTCAACGGTAATATTCCCTTGAATACGATCCTCATATTCGTCCTAACAATGGAAATATTCCCTTGAATACGATCCTCATATTTGTTGTGTCAATGGTAATATTCATACATAGATCAAATATGCAGATATTGTGCAGTGAAAAAGAATGGTTTTCCAGAGATAACAGTTCTTTGATGCAAGTCAGAGACTAAATACCAGTCAAGTAAATATGATCCTCTATTTGTTGTGTTCACAGTCATATTCTTAGATTTTACATACACTACAAGCTGCATTCTACACAGTGCATATTTGATATTCCAAGACTCACTTCATTAACAACTACACTCTGTCCAGGGTCCAACAGTGGTTTCGTATGAAGACTACTTCAAGGTGTAGCAAAATACTGAATGACATATAAAATCAACAAAGGTACAACATGTGGTAATCAAGTGACGGATTATATCACGAATCCAAATAATTTAAAAATACTGAAATGAACAACAAACCTAAATCCAGAAACTGAAGCCATCACAACATTACACTGCAAGCAACTAGAATGAGCAAAGAGGGACATAATTTCTAACAGCAATCTCGTCCGTTCTATGAGGTCTCACGTCAGAGAAAAAAATTCATGTTACTTGTATAGAATTCTTCCATGAAAACTGTGGACATACACGCTCTTTAGCCTTCTGCCAAATTCTGAAATATGCACAACTAAACCCAGTGAAATCTCAGAAACTCTAATAAAAATGTGAATATAGGCAATTTTAAATAGCACATTATAAACAAAATTATCACTGAACCATGTGAGTGTACAAAAATCCAGGATTTGAAACTAAACATAAACAACATGTTAACATAAAATACATTTTTCAGCATAAATTATTACTCTTCACTATATACTTACATTACAAATAAACTAAAAATCACAACACTTCTTGCCTGTACCTGTAAACAACCATGAAAGCCTGATAATAGTTATTTAATTCCCTAGTATAGTAAATAAATGTTTATTACTGTAGTTCTTTAGCGATACTGCAGTAAAGTAAAAGTAAAGCTATCCCTGTAACAGACCGTAAAGGCCCATAGGGTCATGAGACGTTGAGGGTCCCACATTATATAGACAATCGGCTCAAAGACGGCAGTAAGGTTGTCAGCCTTACATGCCGGCCGCGTTTTACTCCCCAGGAAAATTATTTACTTAATTCCTGATACTCATTTCTGATAGAGGCTTAGTCACCCCAGGGCCATAGTGAGGCTGGAAGGATTAGGTCAATTGAAAAAATCCAATGACCTCATTGGGACTTGAACCCGCAACCTTCCGGCTTGTAGCATAGTGCCTCAACCAGCTACGCTACCGCGTGCCCGAGCGATACTGGAACAACTATTAAAAGATTATTAATTAGTTATATGTGACAAGAAGGGTCTTAAACCTGAAGTGTTCTGTGGTTAGTTCTTGCATTACACAACTGTCAAACATGGAGTATCAATTGTCCAAAAGTACATCTGGATTCTTTGATCCAAAGCAAGCCTAAACACAATAACTTAGCTTTAGAGGAACAACTCACTACCTAGTCCCAGTCAGAAGTAACAGAAATGATTCCATCACCAGAACCATCAGATTAATCCAAAGTGTCATAAGACAAACATCGGTCTTCCTTCTATTGGGCCCCCTGCCCCACATAAACTTAATGACATAAAAAAAAAGTAACATGTGAACAGCATCCACAGGATTTGAACCTGACAGAAAGGAAAACCACAGCATTTTTCTTGTGTGCTGAATATAGCCTCATACAACTGTTTACTTTATAACAAAGAAAAAATCAGTTTTTATTCACATAGTGGCAAAGAAACAACTGGACCATTTAAAAAATGAAGTTGCAACATAAAAAATTACAATAACCATAAACCTTGAATTGAAAGTATATTTAACTATAGAGTATGGTAAGCCGGCTTCATGAATATATGAGACATACAAAGTGGTATCATTAAGCTCTATTAGGTTATTTACGCTTGAATGTGGCTCCACTTTCAAATGCATGTGCATATTACTATGTTAAAGCAACAGTTCACCAAAACTCTGAATGGATGAAGTACTTCACATATATTCAACTCGAGTTTTTTGTGGTGAACATATAAGAAACACTGCGCTAATTAAACAGTCACTGTTTTGTATTAACAACATAAATAACTACAGCAAATGGAATGATTAACTTAATCCATATATAAATTGTAATAAGACCATTCTGGCACAGCAAGTAAATTACTAATAATCTGGGTACTACACATACAAGTATTCACTGACAAGCAAAATTAGAAAAATGTTTGTATCCACCCACATACAGACCCTGCAGTTATTTGATAACATGTTATATTTTATAGTTTAAGGACCAAAAATAAGGACAACAAATTTAGGAAATGGAGCCATACATTTTTCAGATCCTGCAGGAAACTCCAGGTGACAAAACATTCTTTACAAAGTGAACCTCTAGTCCAAAATCAATTGTCACTACAGCTGAAGCTTTTGCAAGGTGACTGGGATTCTGTTAAACTGTCAAAAGTAATAAAAAAAAAGGCCTAATGATGTTTAAAGAATCACAAAGCAAGAAGTGCTGTAATAAAGTTATATAAACACTGCTTATATATTAAAACAAAAATACTATCTATATAAAATAAGCAGAAATATATTCCGTGCTAATCTAACTGAAACCATCAGACCAGCATAAACAGTACAAAAATTAAAATGCACTGACAAAATGAGCATGCTGTACTATTGTATGTGCTAAGGAAATGTTTAGATATTGAAAAATGTATCATGTTATTACATAGCCTCTCTCTTAGATTTTGTTCTTTAAACACTGGACAGGTTATGTTAAAGATGCAGTAATCTGTTTTAATGTACAGTGTGCATAAGGAATTATCTACGAAGCTAATAGCAATGTATTAACAGTAAAGATGATCTAATAAATGGCTTCTCTATTTGTCATGTTGTCCAGCTGAGGATCAAAATCACGGATTCATGAACATCAGAAATATCCTCATATATACTAAAAAATTAGACTCTGATACTTAAAAAAATATGACAATGAAACGGTCTAACTAACTGAACAACATATCAACGCCAAGAAAGATCATCCTGCCTGGCTGCTAACAATGTTAGCAATGTTTGTTTTTGTTATGTTATTTCAATATTGTTTCCAGTCCCTTAAAATTCTAACTGATATACACCCAACCTTAACCAAACCTCTGATTTCTAACAAACAGCAACTTATTTTCAGTTTTCTAAATAAAGTAATCATTTTAACAAAACTAAAACCAACCCAATTTTAAAGAACCGGGAACAATACCAAATAACAGACCAATGGAGTTTAGGAAATAAAGGAAATGGTACTGGGGAATAAATCAGATTTACTTCTCTTCTGTGGGTTCCATTGTTGTTGGAGTTGGAGTAGTTGTTGCTGTTTGCCCCCTCCACCATTGTTCCCCAGAGTTGGAGCCAAGTTGAAGTGCATCATTAAAGGCGCCATCGGCACTGTGGAGTGGATGGTAGGTCACAGAATATTATGAGAAAACAGCAAAAGAAACAAAATGTACTATCCAATGTCTGGTTGAGATGACATGTTTTAAGTTAACCTCCCTCTCCTCTACAATAACATTTACAAACAACCCCAAGCAATGGGGAGGTGTTATAACTTCCTGTTGATTAACTGGATGAAAATATAAAGATGTTTCAAGGAGGTGGGCAATGAAGATGAAAATTTTATTCAACAAATTTTTAACTCAAAATACAGGCTACTGAGAAGGCAGTGTAGCACAAACCACCATTTAAAGTTCAAAAGCATTGTAATAAGGGGCTAGTTAAAGCAATTCATGCAAGGTTCATGCTTAAGAGCAATAGCCACACTTAACATTGCTTTTATAAAACATTAAATGAACAACAAACAACACAATCAACAGCAAGGTTAAGAGTGGTCATGCTTACAATACCTTCATGCTATTACATAGTTATTTATGGTATGAATCTGTATGTGTGAAAACATGCCAAAATAAAGACATACTATGAGGCAACCATATCAATCACTACAAGTAACCAATGAAACAAAAACGAAGTAATTCTAATTAACATGCTAGTCGAATTATCTTACAACCTTCTTATGCCAAATTTCACGTGAACTCGTTTTCCAGTGCCCTTTAGCAATGACTTTCAGCATTACAGATTATAAGGAGTTTATTTACAAAACAACTTACTACTCTTTTTTTAAATACACCTGGCCATAATGTCAAATATTACACGGAACGCCTTCCTTTGTGCTTATAAGTGCTAATAAATCCGTGCAACGTATATTTTCTTATACTGTGCTACAAGTAAAATGCTAAATTATCATACCTGAAGAATCCGAGGTTCCTTGGAATGGATCAGTCATTTTCTGCCGCTTGCTTGGCGGCCCATCGACGAGATGATCGGCCATATCTCCCTGTTTACCAAGCCGTGCCTACTTGCCTACACAGTATCGTATTTAACAGAATTTGAAACGGCTACACATGGCTCATTATAAACTTGACCACATAATGGATCCTTGATTACTACTGTGCCAATAGTTCGATGTTTAATCCATCCTTCAAGGCACATATTAATTATCCACAGTCAACGATGGGGCTTAATGAAGCCACAAACTGGCGGATGAGCCTACACAGTACCTCTCTCCATCTTCCGACGGAACTCACACAATGATCCAAAAGTAAATCACCCACGATTTTTCATTTTTAGACGCTATTTTAACACACACTGACCAAACTGTATTACACAAAACACATTAAGTCACTAATAAGATGAAAAAGTGCCCATTGGCTAAACTAAAATAACGGTAATTTCCAGAATAAATTCCAAATTTCCACACAGTCTCAGTTAGTCAAAATGGCGGCTGTTGATGAAAAGTTTTTCTACGCTTGTCAGAAAATTTCCGACTATTAATGAGCATTCGACGCTTCTATTGGACAAGAAGTGCCATGTGACCGAATGGAGTTCTGTTATTGGTTGTACCGATTCTCGACGACTATTCGTGACGTCATATCTATGAACGAAGATAGCCGAAGTATAATTGCTTTTTGTGGAGGGGTAGTGAGAATATCGGAAATGTAATGAAACATAACACAAAGCGTCCTGAGTCTGAATAGAACGTTGGTGATCATGACTTGAACGAAAGTTGCCAGTATAATGAACAAACAGAATCCAGTCCACCAAAAAAAGAGTAACTACGACGTTATATGTGATTTCCTGTTATGCATTCTGCTCTAAATGCCGTAAGAAAGCAATTTGAAAGAAAAGTAGGAAGATATATCACAGACATCTCAACTAGTGATACGGGTCACAGAACTCCGCATCGTTAAAACGTTACATAGGCGATTCGGTGATTGATTTCCTTTCAGGTTCAATGTTATCTAGAATGTTTGTGGTCGATAGCGTGCACACGTGAAAAGTGGTAACGAATATAAACTAAATTTTTACCGGAATACTTGGATTCATTCATGAAAGTGTCATAAGCTGCACTGGCTATTCAAAAATGACGCTGTGAAGCGACAGTTGCAAGAGCTCTAGAGGGGGTTGGGTGACACATGGTAAAAACAGGTGTACTGAATGCAGAATCGCTGTCATCTCGTGCTACCACAATCAAAACATGACATTGTGCAATGTGACGTATAGTATGTTTATGTTATTCCTGCTGAAAAGGCGGGAGAGCATTGGCCGTGAACGTTTGACAACACTGTCGCATCGTGCACTGATGTCACGTGGTTTCACCAATCTCCGACTGCGCGCGAAGTGTAGGCAAGGTCATGGACGGTGGTCGGCGTTACGCCAAAAACGACGTTCCTGGAAGGTATGAGCCGGTACCTCTCCGGTAGGAACGTTCCGCTAGCGATCGTATGTATACGTTTCCGGCCAGCAGTGGAGCAATGCTTAAAGTAAACAAGATGGTGGATATGATCAAGAGCGGTGACACTGATCGATCCACTTGTGCGACGCGTTATGTAATCGTGGAGGCGTAGCAGAGAATGTAGCAGCGGTACAGCCATTGCAGATACAGAATGACCTTGAGGTCCCCATTATAAATTACATTTCCTCGACGTCTCCCGTATATATCTTGCTCGTCTTCATTCTTTTTAAGCCAATGATCGCGTAACAGACTTGAAACGCAGAGAAACTGTGCAAAGTTCAAATTAGTCAAGGTCATTATTGGCACTGCCTCTTTATAAATAACTCACACTCGTGCGGCAAGCGGGGATAACAAGGTCATACGTGTTTCACTTTTAAATGCCTAGCCGAAAAATTCTTTCGTATCGAATAGACTTCAATATCGCCTAGGGAAATAACTGCATGTGATTAATTTTACACACCTCCGCCGAGCGGACTTGAGCAGCGATAACGGTTTAGACTTGTATTCGGTGGGTACGCGGGTCGAATCTCGAACAGGAGACCGGCTTAAGATTTTTACTCAGTCCCTCCATCAAAATGGAGGGCCAGTACCTTGATTGGGGAAATGACTATTTCCTTAAATATTTATTTCCAATTCATTATTCATTAGCCTGCCATCTGACTGCATAATAGTGAGATTGCATGGAACAAACCACACACCCCTCAGTCATAATTGCAACTAGAGCTTTAAGATCCTCAAAACAATATTCTGGTCAGATTCTTTATATGGTTATGTGAAGTATCTTTAGTCAAGATTTCTGTACCATTGCACGTGATGTGTTGGTTGTTACATAATAAAGTGATTGCACTAGATGTACCAAAGGATGTACTATTATGGAATTAAGTTCTTAATAATCTTCTACCTGGTACAAAAAGCCTAAGAAATGAAGTGAGATTATTTTAACTGGCCCTAAAACGATTTATTCTAATTCATTTTATTCCTTAGACATATTTTGATTGTAATTTTAACTAAAATAATTACTATACCTAATTTTACATATCGGAGAAGTTCATGGAGGTAGGCCTTGACCCACTGGGGCTGTAGTGCCAAGGGGGAAAAAAAAGAAAAATTTACATATAATAACCATATTTATTAATTATATGCATTTGTGACTTGTGTATAATATATTCAAATTTTTATGACATTTTATGATCTATGGAACGGGAATAAAGGATGATGATGATCAGTGAGTTAATCTGTTTATTGTATCAAATTGAGAACAAAATGTTTCAGTCTTAACTGACCATCATCAGGTGTATACATGTAAAATTATAATGAATATTTATGAATATGTAGTTTAAAATGGACCCATTTTTGATCAGTATAATTACAGTTTCCTAATTGGTGTTGTAAACTGTAAAATCTACAGTTTGGAAAGTTGTAAAAATACATTTTATATATATAGGCCATGAATATACTGGTTGGTATTTTAAGTGATGTATTCGTATCTTTAAGTTGGTTCTTGGTATTATTTTTGTTATTTTCTGTGTCTCTTACTCGCATGTACATGTGGGTGTGTGGATGTTAATATGTATGCAGGTTTTGCAGTATTGGATATACACTGTTGTGGATCACCCATGACTCCTAATACAAGGTATATCAGGAAAACATTACAAACCAAGAATTCAGCCCACTTAAAAGCAACAACAGCACATACACCCCAACACACTAAATATCCATATTATTACATTCATTCATCTGTAATCTGTCAAGACGACAGGTCCACAGTCTCTTCCAAAACAGTTCCTCCATTTGATGCGATCTAGAGGTTTCTCCTTCAAATGAAAATATCCTCTTCTGTCCCCAAGGTCATCCAGCATCTTCTTACGTCTTCTGGTCACTTCTATCCGCCCCTCTATCTTTCCTTCAATAACATCTTTTAGAAGGCAGTTACTGCGTAAGATATAACCAATCCGATTAGCCTTCCATTTTCTTATTTCGTGTAGGATATTCCTCTGCTCACTGACTCTAAATAACACTTCATTTCTCACATAATCGGTCCAAATGATCTTCTCCATCCTTCTCAAACACCACATTTTGAAGCTTTCCGGGTGTTTCTGATCTACTGCCCTAAGTGTCGAAGTTTCATAAAATTACAAAAAAAAAAAAACGAAAAACATATTTATATACATACTGTATATTCAGCAACAGCATAATATATTTTTGATTTTACATGTATACACCTGAGTTCATCAGCCTAGGCCAAAACATGTAGCATTTTTAGTTTTACATAATAAACAGATCATTAACGTCTCACAACCCTATGGGCCTCCATGGCCTGTTACAGGGATAGCTTTACCCTACTAAAAAGAAAGTCACTTCTCTCCACCCCCCTACCCCCCTCCATTATTGTGCTTCTTAGTTTACAACACTCTGTGGGGGAAGACTGCTGAAACCATGGATCAACGAGTTGGAACTATGGGATGTGGATACTGAAATAAATGAAGCAGTAACAGTATGCTCATCCCCAACCTTCAGTCAGGCAGTTATAATTTCAAATGAAAAGTATTTCATATACAAAAATTAAAATTATTAAATATTTATTACTGTATTCCACTTGCAAAACCTAGGCACAGATGGGAGAATAATATTAGAAAAGAAGTCTTCCAAAAATAGGATGAAGAGAAAATTGGATTCATCTGGCTCAGAACAGGGACCAGTGGTGGGTTGTTGTGAACATGGTGATGAATTGTCAAGTTCTGTAAAAGATGTGAAACCTTTTGTATAGCTGAATGTCTATCAACTTCTCAGAAAAGACTCTGTCATATGTAGTTAGTCATCAATTTAACGTCCTAATAAAAAATTACAGTATAAGCTACTTTCTTTAAACCCTTGTACTTCCTTGCAGGATCCATGTACAACTCACTTTACTGTACCACAGTTTGTGGAATATCCCTCCATTTTGACCCTCTTCTGCTCATACACCCAATAAAAGCTATGCAAAATGAAGTCCAAGGAACAATCTACCTCTCTATGATTCAAATGGGCGGAAGTGTACATTAACAATTCAATAAAAGCTTTTATAACTATAGATTAACAAATGGGCTACATACTTAATACACTTGGTCGTCGACTTACGACCAACTTCCGTTCTGACTGACAGGTCGTAAGTCGGCCATATATTTATTAACAGTATTTTTTAAACTTTCTAATCTGTTTATCATCTTTGTAATTTATTTTTAGAAACTTTTACATTTATTTATAATTTTTTGTGGTCGTAAGTCGACGACCAAGTGTATACATTTTGGCTTTCTATAACAGCATTTTGCCATAAACAATTTCCTTCCCATCACTCATCATGTTTGAACACAGCCTGTTCCTATTCCCATACTAAAATTTCATATTTTATTTTTCTCATAAAGATTATGATTTAAATTAATCTGATTAAAATTTTATATCTCATTTTCCTTTCCACTGTCCTTCACTTCCATCACTGCCTTTGCTCATAAAATTCACTGTACCCTACCCAGATGGACTACAGAAGTACAGGACAGAGAACTATTTAGAAAATAACACTGTAGTTTTCTTTTTATTTTTTTAATGTTGTGTGAATTATATTTTATTTCAGATGCATTTTCAGCTCAGCATACATAAAATATGTAATTTAGCAGTTATCATGCATGTTCAAACATATCTTGGGTAAGAACAGCATTCTTCAATTTATTTACAATAGTTGTATCACATTTGAGGTGTAAATTTATCCATTAAATCCATCCATCTTTCTGATGCTTTTGTTTTGAAACATGGACCCTGGCAATGAGAAATCAAACCCATGCAACAGGTACAAAATATGCGAGACATTATGAAGGGAAGACAAGTAATGATAGAATTAGAAATGAAAAATTAAAAATTTAGTAGAGTTAGAAGAAAAACAATTACAATAATTCAGCCACATAAGAAATGGATAGATCAGGGATATTGAAAAGGGCATGAGAATTAAATTTAAAG